GCACATGATGAATTTTGCATATTTTCTTCTGTTATAACAAGATGATATTTAAATTCTTCATTTGATGTTATGGCAAATAAAACTGTTTCATTTGACAATGTTTCATTCTTATACAAATAAAAACTACCACCATTATTACACTCAACACTATGAGTATTCCATGTCGATGATATTAGAGTTTCATTAGTTATTGATTCAATCAAATAAATACCACTTTTATGTTCATTACAAAAATTTATTTTAATTTCTTTTGTTGTTCTAATATCAAAAATTGTAGCTTTTCATAACATTAATTCTTTTCTTCTTTTAAACCACTTAAGGTAATAACAAACTATAATTAAATTCTTTGACTGTATTGTTCATTGAAATAATTCCTGTCTTCCAATCTTTTGTTTCTCCTTCTTCTTTATATGGAAAATTTTCAATTAGTTTAATAGATGGAATAGCAACACAATACCAAATAAGGAGGATTTCAATAAGAATATTCATCTTTAATTTTTTTTAGTTAATTTGAATCAAAAGATTAAGAAAATTATAATTTTATTACTAAACTCAATTTTGGATGTTGATGATTTAAAAAAAAAACACAAATAAAAATATGTTATTTAAAATACAATCTTTAATTTGGAGTTAGTTGATTCAACAAAATCATCTTCAAAATCAGTGTCATTATCTAGAAAAACTCTAGAAAAATACCCCATTGGAATTGAAACTTCTTCTTCTATTATTCTTCCCATTTGTGGATTATTTAACGCTTTCCAATTCAATTGTTTTCTCAATGGAACAATACACAACTCTTCTTTTAAAGAACATTTTGGTTTAAGTCGGTAATAATCATTAAAACATGGCTCTGGTTCTAAAAAATGTTTTTCTTCTTCAACCATATGATGTTCTAATGGTGGTGTTTTGATTCTAGGAGGGATACATGGAAATTCAACTTGTTCTTTTTCTCTTAGTCTTAAAAATCTGCAAGGTTTAAGAATATATTTTTCACAAACTACCTCTTCTTCTTTGACTTTACAAAATATTTTGTTTTGACCATTAATCTTAATTTCTTTAACTTCTTTAACAATATCAACTTCAATAAAACTAATTCTTGGTTGTATGTCTGTTACCTTAACTTCTTCTTCTATTTCATTATTTATTATTTCAAATTTTTGTGTTGATATTTTTTGTGGTTCTTGAACTACTGGTTTGATTGGTTCCTGATTTATAGGTTCTTCTTCTGTCCTTGTTTCAACAACACTCATTTGAGAAATAACTTGATTTCCATCATTGAATTGAATCATTTCATGTGGTCTTGCCAATTTTTTATTGATTCGATTTTTTCGTTCTTGAGTGAATGATTTTTTGATTGACTCTTTTTGTTTTTGTTCATTGTTCTCAAGAATGTCTATCTCTTTCATTTCTCTTAACCCATTAATTCCTTTTATTCTATCTTCACCAAATGGTAATACTGATAATAATGTTGTTTGTTCTTCAATTTTACTCATTAACTCTGAAGTAATAACTTTATCATCTTTAACATTATTTTGATTTGTTGACTCTTCATTTTTATTTTCTATTTCTTCTTCTTCAACAACTTCCATTGGAATTTTATCATTATTCATCTCTCGTTCTTCTCCAAAACTCATAACAGATAATATTGATGATGTTTCTTCAGTCATTTCTTGATTGTCTTCATTAGTCACTTTCTCTTGAACCTCTTCATCTCTCTTGTTTATATCTTTTTTATTTATTGGTTCATCTTCAATTAATACTAATTTTTTTGTTTCTTCTTGTTTTTTTGGAATAATAACGGTGGTATTGAATTGTTTTTCCTTTTTGAATATTTTCTTTGGACTTTGTCTTGGAGATGTATGTTGAATTGTATCATGTTCAATTAATTGCTTCTTTTCGACTTGGTATTTAATAGGTGTTTTATAACTTGTTTCACTAATTTCTACATTTGTTTCAAATTGCATTGGTTGGATGCTTTGTTCTATTTCTGTAAGATGGAAATCTTTCTTTGGTGTCTCGATCGGATGATTTCTGTGAATAACAAAACTATCTTCACTTTGTTCTTCTTGTTGATTTGTTTGAAATTTCGAGATTTTATTTTCATTTTCTGTAAAAGTTGTTGTTTTATTTTTCTCTTCAACCCCTTCTAACTGAATTGTGACATTATTCTCTTGTGTTGGTTGTTCAATTTCGTTAAACGTAATCATTCTATAATCATTTTGATCTATAGATTCATCATCAAATGACTGATTATTAAATTTAATTTCGGTTTGTAATTTCATTGTTTTTTGACGTTCTGTTTTCGTTTTAGGAATATCAAATCCGTCAGATGTTTCTTTGAATTGGCTAGTTATATTTTCATTTCTTTTGTTTGTTCTACTAAACGTAATTTTACTTTCATTATGTTTAATAATAGGTTGAATAACTCTTTGTGCAGTTTCTATTCCAATTTCTTTTTGTTTGATTGGTGTTTTTAAATCATTTGGATGTTTTAATCCTAGTTGCTCCTTTTTCTCTTTTTCTACATATTTTCTTTTAAATTTTTGTAAATATTTTTCTTTTTCTTCTTCTGTGATTTTAGGTATTTCTTCCTCTTTTTGAATTTCTTTCTTTTTCTTTTCTGTTTTACTTCTTATAAATCTTTCTTTTACTTTTGTTTGTTGTGAACTTCCTTTTTTATTCTTATTTTGATGTTTTGGCATTCTATTTTAATTTGTGAAGTATTAAGTTCTTCTCTTTTTTTAGTCCATAAAAATTACATTATAAAAAAATAAATTAAACAAATAACTTACACAACTTATTTCATTAAACCAACCTCTAAAAAAAATGTAAAATAATATGTGAAAGTTTTCTGCAACTGTGTCGTTGGAAAGGAATTTCATTTCTTAATACATCTCTAATATTCACTTTCAAATCTCTAAATTAAATTTAGTTATACATTATACTGTGAATATTCTTTTTTAATAATTATGCGACTTATCATTTATGATTTGACAAAACACTTCTATTAAAATCTTTAATTTGTTTATTTTATTGTCTTGTAGTTGTAATAATACTTATCTTTAACACTAGAACTTTCAGTAATGTAAAACTATTTAATAATTGCTACTTTTTTATTTATTTTTTAAGACAATAATAAGAGTACTTTTTAGAATTGCAACATAATGATATGAAAAATAACTCTTTATTTTACTCACTTATTTTGGTACTTGTTTTTATAGACTTTTTACATAAAAAAAAACAACTAAAATATAGAAAGATTTTACAGTAAATATAGTCAGTTATTCATTCCTCTAACTATTAATTAATCAAATTTGGTTAGTTGGTGATGTATCAAATAAAACAATTGGTAGTGACTATTGCTTGAAACAAAATTTCTTGATAAGTCATGTTATAAGATTAGTCGATATCTATATCATAGATTTTTCTTGGGATATTTAAAAAAGTACTGATAAAACTTCTAAATTCACTTTAAGAACTATTAATCTTGCTCATGAACATCTCTTTAAATGATTGGTACGACTCTCATCTTTATGAAATTCAACATCAAATTCAACAATTTTTAGAGTCTCTTGACCCAACCCATTTAGAACTTTATCAAACACTATTAAATGATACTTGGAATGATCTTCATCAAACAGAAGTAATTTCATTACAAAGTGCTCAATTTCTTGTAAACGATCAAGTAAAAGAAGACAAAGAACAGTACCTTGCTTTCATAAAACAAACAGTGAATAGAATTGGATCATTGATGAGACTATTCAAAGACATTCACATCAATAAACACACTCTCAAAGAAATTCGTATTACACAACCAATCATTATTGTTGGTCTTCCAAGAAGTGGATCAACAACACTATTTAATATAATGTGTGCACACACCAAATCCCATTACTTTACATCATGGCAGACTTTGTGTCCTGGGTTTTCAATGATAACAGAAAAAGCACAACGACAATTCACAGAATATATTCATAATATGATGAAAAGAGGGTGTGATGATTTTGATAAAATTCATGCAATTAATCCAGATGCAAATGAAGAATGTGTGTTTCAATACAATTGCTATGGTTTGTATTTTGCTCATTGTATGGCATTACCACAATACAAGGACGTTGTTTGTAACCTCTTTTCTTCATGGAATTCATTAATGGATTTCGAATGGAATGTATATAAATTAAATCTTTTAAGAAGACCAATGAACAATGACCAATTTTTAATTATAAAGAATGCAACATTATTATGTGTGTTAAAAGATGTATTGTTATCATGCCCAGATATTCGGTTAATATGGATTCATCGCAACCCATATGACATCATTAAAAGTTCTATTCCTTACTTCAAAACAATCAAAAATACATTTTTAACGAAAACAAATCAGGAAAAAGTTTCTGATGAATGGTTATCTCATAACATTGCCGAGATAGAGAACCGTATCTTGAAACAAGCGATAGATGTACGAAATGAATGGGTCAAACAAAATCCATCAAGACAATCACAAATTTATGATGTTTTCTTTAATGAGATAATCAAAGACCCTCTTTCTATTGTTGAATCTATTTATCATCATTTTAATATTAATGTTAGTGAAATTGATAAAGAAGTAATGAAAAAAGCATTGACTAATGATTATCAATCAAAAATTGGGAGAATGACAACTAACTCAATTCCAATAAGTAAAGAAGAAGTTAATAGTCTTTACGACTGGTACATCAAACAATTTTTTTCAAAGAAACTTTAACCAATACCAACGTTTCAAGCATTTAAAGAAGTAAATTTTATATAATAATTAAAATCAATTAAAAAGTAATTATGATAAGTTTTTTTTTACAAAACAATTAATTTTCCAACAATTTCATTTTATTATTGTTACTAAAAACATTTCTTCATGAAAGTAAAAAACAAAAAAATAAAAATAACATAATATCAATTTCAACCCTTAAAAAAAAGATAATATCAACATTGAAAGAATTACTTACAAACCTAAAAGAAACAATCAATTAAGAAGGGATATAATTTGTTCCACTTACAAAATTTGAAGTTGGAGTAGTAGCCATTTGTTGTTCTCTCTTCTTTTTTTTAAGAGCTTTAAGACCACAAGCATTACATAAGAAAGTATTTGGTGACTCACCAGTTCTCCATTCAGATGTTTTGGTTGTATGACAAATACTACATTCTCTATTATGATCCAATTTAGGTCTTCCACGTTGTTTCTTACCATTTGGATTTGTTGGCTCTGTTTGTGGTTTTTTTTGTTGTTCAATAACTGGTTGTGTTTGTTCAAGAGAAGTACCTTGGTATAATTGACGATTATACTCTTCTAACATTCCAAGCATTCTTGACTTTAGTAAAGCAAATTGTTCAATTGGTAAATTTTTCTCATTACACCATAATAATAATTCAAGTACTGACTGTCTAAACTAAATTATTAGATGATCTACTTTTCGAAAATTGAGTTAATAAGATCATTTCATCTCTTCATTGGTAAATCTCATAATAAAACAAACGTCACAAGAAAATTTTACACAACTAGGAAGATCTGTAATATTTTCATCTGCCATCACTTTTTCAGTTTCCATTATAACTGATAATTCAATTATTTTAGAGATCATTTTATACCCTAAAAGTAAACCCTTTGATTTTGACACGTGGGTTATTAACTAAATATTTCAAGAACTATTTTTTTAAAGTTCCCGAACTATATTTTTTTATTTGTTTTTTTTTCTCTTTTCAGAAAAGTCAACGTCATTAAATATAGCAAATAAATAGCAAAAACATCATATACAATAGTTTTATTTTTAAAAATATTTAAAACAGAATGAATCGAAGTACCTAAATAACAAAAAGAATCAAATTAAATTTGTTTCTTTTCTTTAGATTCTTTAAGTCCAACTGTTCTGTTAAAAACTAAAGCTCCTTCTTTAGAGTCACTATCACAACAGAAAAATCCTACTCTTTCAAATTGGAAACAGTCAAGTGGTTTAACGTGTTCTAAAGTTTCATCAACATAACCATTAACAATAGTGAGTGACTTTGGATTAATAAGTTTTTCCCAATCTGGACTTTCTGGTTTAGGATCAGTAAAGAGAGTATCATAGTATCTTAACTCGGCTTTAGCTGGTTCAGCTCCATTAACACCAGAACTAACCCATTGAATATGTCCTTTTGGTTTTTCTTTTTTATCTGCATCAAAAGTACAATATAAACAAGTAATTTTACCTTCAGCATCTTTATCAAATTTATGACAAATAATATTTCCTGCATATCTTAATCCAACAACTTTGTTTGGTGCAAGTCCCCAATATCCTTTTTTGTCTTCATCTCTCCAATCACTTCTGTCAATATAAAGTACTTTTCTTAAATGAACAGTATTAGTTCCCATTTTATCATTCATTGGATGATTTGGTCTTACAACTTCAATACAATAATCATCTGGAACATTAGTTAAAATAACTTTAACAGGATCTGGTACACACATAGCTCTCTTACATTTAACCTCCATATCATCTCTACAATGTTGTTCAAGAACTTCATAGTCAATATAAACAGTAGTATTAGTTGTAACTCCAACAGTTCTACAGAAATTATTAATAGCATCAGCAGAATATCCCTTACGTTTGAATCCCATAATGGTTGGCATTCTTGGATCATCCCATCCTCTAACATATCCTTTATCAACTAAAGCATGAAGTTTTCTTTTAGACATAACAGTATAAGTAATATTTAATCTGTTAAACTCCCATACAACTGGTTTATACATATCAAGAGCATCAAGTAACCAAAAGTATGATTCTCTTCTTGGAAGGAATTCTAATGTACACATAGAATGAGTAATGTCTTCAAAAGAATCAACTAAACAATGGACAAAATCATATGATGGATAACAACATAATCTATCACCTGTAACTGGGTGTGGGAAGAATTTAATTCTATAAGCAACAAGATCCCACATACATGGGTTTGGTGAATTAATATCCATTTTCATTCTTAAAGTAGCTTCTCCTTCACCATATCTACCTTGACACATCCATTTAAAGTGTTTAAGATTTTCTTCTACACTTCTATCTCTCCATGGAGATGGTTGTTTATTTTCACGTGAAGCAGCAATTTGATCAGGAGTTTGATGACAAACATAAGCTTTTCCTCTTTTAATTAATTCAATTGCACAATCATAAATTCTATCAAAATATTGTGATGAATAAGTAACAGCACATGGAGTATGTCCTAACCACTTAACAGTCTCTTCGATAGTATTAATAAATTCATGAGTCTCTTTCTCTGGATTTGTATCATCAAATCTCATATAACATTTACCACCAGTTTTTTCTGCATAACCAAAATTCAAATACATTGATTTGGCATGTCCAATATGAAGATATCCATTTGGTTCTGGTGGGAATCTAGTAACATAAATTCCTCCAGTTCTTTTTAGATGTTCAGCAAGAATTTCTGGAGTTTTTTGAATATTATCAGCGGGATTAGATAATTTAACTCCTGAATCAACGTTCTTTTGTTTTGGAAGATTTTTAACTTCTTCTTTTTTATTTGGTTCACCACTCTTTTTTTGTGCTTTCTTTTTGATGTCATCTTTAGTCTTTTCTCCTAATATTTCTTTTAATTGTTTCATTAATTCTTCATTAAGAACCTTACCATCAGCCCATTTAATGGAATCTTTTGCTTCTCTTATTAATTGACCTTCCATAGTATATCTATTCTTTTTTAATTCTTCCATTTTACCTGATAATAATTGTTTAACTCCTTCAATAATTTGTTCTCTAGTAACAACAACTCCTACTCCACATTCTTTTTCAATGGTTGGAATATCAAGTTCTTGATGTTTATTAATATAAGTCATTAAAGCATCCATATTAATATTAGTAACTTTCTTAGAAACAATCCATGCTATTACTTGTGGTCTAATTGACTCTTTTCCTTTATTTAATTTTGTAGCTAATTGATACAACAATTGACCAATAGCCTTTTCACATCCTTTTTCACATCCAGCTTCTTTAATAATATCAAGAAGAGTTTTAGTAAGTTCAGCATTCTTAAGCGTTTCTTCAGCTTTTTGTTTAGCAATACCAATTAGTTCAAATTGTTCTGCGGCTCCAGCCATCTTCTTTTTATGTAATTTATTTTGCGTTCTTTGGTTTTTATTTTTGTGACTCTAAACCCTTATTTTTCATTTTTGAATATTTTTTTTGTTATAGGGTTTATTTTATTAACTTTATGTTATATATGACATATTATTTTTTATAATAAAAAATTGTTTATAATTTAAAAATGATAAAAAAGCCTATTTATAGTATGTGAATTACATCACGATACATGATAAATATAGAACATCAGCTAAAAAATATATGAAAAACGTTACGTTTGTTAAAGTTTAAAATAATAAAGAACAATAACACTTTATGAAGAATATAAAATTCAGTCACAGATGGATTACTATGTTATGAACAAAAGAAAATTAATAAAAATTAAATTTCAATCAAATAATCCTTATAAAAATAAATTGTAAAGTTTTATGTAGTTGTTTGAATAATCTACAAAATCGAATATTGTCGTTATAATTTTATGAACAACGGCTCTCATAAAGTTCATGACCCAAAGAATGCAGAACATAAAAGAAGGTCTAGAGAAAATCAGGCTTTATTTGTTAATTGTTTAATTGGGTTATTGATTGCTGTAAGTAAAAAAACTATTGGAATTAAATGTCCATTAAAGATATACAAAGAGGGAAGTCCTCAATATTTTCAAATTATTCAAATAGATAACTTCAAACTTAAGAACAGAAAAGTTAGAAGTATTGAAGAAGTTAAAATTATTAAAACTATTACTAATGAAGTAGTAAAGGGATTATCTCCAGAACAAAAGAAAATGTCTTATTGTCAACCAGGCAAAGTGGGGTTTGTTCGTTATAACTGGATATATCCATTTTTAACAAAAGAGAGTTTCTATAAATTTGGAAGGAATGTTTGTGAGTTAATCAAAGAAAAGCTTGTACATAATACTTCAAAACAAATTGTTTTTATTGATAATGAAATGGTACATAAAATAAATGGATGGGTTGAATCTGAGAGAGGACAATTAAGCACTACAGAAACAAAATTCCAATTCATTAATCAAAAGGATATACCAGAAAATGAAAAAACTGAATCTGATAATACCGAAACAATTAGTGAAGATTTTGATTCAAAATAAAAAGAGAAGTATAGTTATTTGAACTGCTAATTGAATTTGTATATTCTTCAAGATTTAGGTATTTATTTAAAAAGAAAAGAAAGTAAGATTTATATATATATATATATATATGAAGTAGTAATAAATATTAAATAAGATGTTGAAAAGTAACATAAAAAATAATACATTAGAACTTTGTTTTATGGCAAATGTTCTTCTTTATTTTACTAAATTCAGTGATGTAAAGTCGTTTCTTTTTGTTTCTAAAAAGTGTCACAATTCATGTAAAGTACTTAAAACAAACCCACTCATTGAGTATGGTATAGATGAAAAGATAAAAAATTGGGCATACAAAATTATATTATTTTTTCCAAATATTCAAACATTTAGAATTAAAGACTTGAATGTTTTTCTTCCACAAAATATAATTAACAATGTCAGTCTTATAGAAACAGTTTGTAATTTTGATCTTTACAAAATGGAAAATGGTGATGAACAAGATTCATCTATATCTTCTTTGACATTTCCTCTTTTTATAAATAGTCATGGAGAGTATTATTTTTATGACTCAGTGAGAAATTATTTACCAGGTTATCCAGAAGGATGGTTACCAAAAGGTATTCATTCAATTGGTACCGAAATTCATGAAAACCAGAATTGTGCTATAGAAAAATTAGTTGATTATTCGATTGTATCTAACTACAGTGCATGGTGGTTTCTTATTCATATAACTTCTTTTAAAAATTTAAGATACTTAACTATTATTTTGGAAGAGGAAGTTGGTTGGACTTCTACAAAATTTAATAAAGGTGAGTCAATCTCTATTTATTTAGAAAAGGTTATGAATTTTCTCTCTCTAAAAACTACGTTGCAAAAAGTTAAACTAATTACTATAACAAATACCATTAAAGATTCTGTTTATCATCAAATTAAGAAATATCCAAAAATTAAATTTATTATTATTGCATATGATTGTCTTAAAAGTGAAGTCCAAAGATGGAAAAAAATAGCGTCATTACCAAATGTCTATGTTTTATTTAAATGTGTAATTCCAGAGATTTTAGCGGAAACAAAATTTGTAATTTCTGAGCATTTTAGTATGAAATATAAATATGGATGGTATTCTTCTCATATTAAAAATTTATGTAAAGAAATAGAAGTACTCAATTATTTGATTGAAAAATTAGTATTAAGTATTTCTGTTCATTGTAAGATAGAAAACCTTCCAGTTTCTTTTTTAACTCCTCTGTATAATCTTTCACAGTTAAAGATAATTGAGATGCATTTAGTTATTAACACGGAGGCTAAACACAATTATATTCTTCCAATATCATTAAAGTCATTAGTCTTATCTTCTGATATTACTTTTGGGATGTCCACAATTAGAATGTCTTCAATAAATTTTTGTCTTCAAACTCCAACATTAGAATATTTACAACTCAAACAACTCAAACTTCGTTCTGAAATAGAAATAATTCTTCCAAGCTCATTGTCTATTCTAAATGTATTAAGTTGTGAAAACATCACACTCAAAATTTTTCCATTGTTTAATCTAGTCTCCACTGTATTTAATAATTGTATAAGATGCAAGTTAATAAATGACTTTAAATAACAATAATAAATTTTAAAATTTAATTCTGTTTATAAAACATTAAAAAAATGTATTTTTATTAATTTAGAAAATATATAAAAGAAATATTCTCTCTTCTTATTCATAATCTCATTATTTGTTAATGTTACATACATTAATTTAATCATAGAAATGTAATTCATTAATTTTCATTGTAAAATTGAGAAAGAGAAGTACTATATTATAAAAGTATAGATATATCTTAGTTTTTTTAATTAGTACAGTTAGATTATTACTATTTCAATTAGTAATTTTATCTTCTTAATGTTTTAAATATAAAAATATTGTTTTTATAAAATATTTTATTTTTTTTTATTAGTCAGTTTTTTTATTCAATGGCAACTGAACAAATACAACATATAGCAATCGTTGGTTGTGTTCATGGTAAATACAGAGAGATGTATCGACAGTTGTCTGAATATGAAAAAAGTACTGGAAAAGAAATTTCATTTGTAATATGTACAGGAGATATGCAAACCCTGAGATATGAAGCTGATTTAGTATATTTAAAAGTACCACCAAAGTATAAACAAATGGGAGACTTCCATCTGTACTACGAAGGAAAAGAAAAAGCACCATATTTAACACTGTTTATAGGAGGAAACCATGAATCATCTAATGTATTATTACACCTTTACAATGGAGGTTTTGTTTGTTTTAATATGTATTATCTAGGAGTATGTTCTTGTATAAATATAAATGGATTAAGAATTGTTGGAGTATCAGGAATTTATAAGTCATTTGATGAGAAAAAGCCATACACATACCCACCATCTCCAAATGATGTTGTTTCATTATTTCATACAAGAAATTATGTTATTCAAATGCTTTCAAATTTAAGTCAAAGTTCTCAAATTGACATTTCACTTTCACATGATTGGCCACAAGGTATTGTAATGAAAGGCAATTACAAACAATTATACAGATTCCAACCTGGTTTTAAAAAAGATGGAGCTTCTCTTGGTTCACCTATTAATAAAGTCATTTTAAACACTCTTAAACCAAAATATTGGATTTCTGGACATATGCATTGTGAATATCATGCAGAAGAAGGACCAACACATTTTATTGCATTAGGTAAAATAGGATATAAAAATGCAATATCTTATCTTGACCTTCCTTTAAAACAAAAAACAGACCTTGAATATGACAAAGACTGGGTGTGTAATCTTATTATGACATGGCCTGCATTTTCAAATAAAGCACAATTCCCTGACTTGTCATATTCTATTTCTGAATTATTATCTAAAAGAACAAAAGAACTTGATAAAAAAATCATTGAACTATGGGAAAAATATATTGGACTTAAAATTATTTATGACTCAGATACTTTTGACATACAATTTACTTCACGTAGATTTTATATTGAAAAGATATATAATGAATTAAATATAAATTGAAATGAACTAGAACCTTTTTTATTGATTGATTTTAAATAAAAATAAATTTTACATTGTTTGACAACCATTGATTTTATTATCCCATTGTGTCTTCATTAATACTAATGATTTTGGTAAATAAATTCCCTTCAATTTTGGGCATTGTTTTAATGAAAGATAAGTCATTATTGTATTTTGTTGTGTATCAACCTTAGTTAATTCTCTACATTGAAATACAATACATGATAATACTTTTGGAAGTTCTAATTCTTTAATTTCTCCACAACCAAATATACTGAATTGAGTTAAATCACATTGTTTTAATCCTTGTATTGATTTTAAATAGAAAAGTCTTTCAAGTCGAATATTTTTTAAAGAAGATGGAAGTAATAATTCTGAAATTCCTCCTGAATATTTAATATCTAAATTTTTTAATGGTAAAAATTGTAAATTATTTAATTGTGTAACAACTCCACAATCATCTATCCTAAGAGAAGTTAATGTTGTTGGAAAATATAATGTTGTAGTAAATTTAAAATTTAGTGAAATAAGATTTAATGCTTCAATATTTTTTAAACGTTCAAAATGAGCTATTGAGTCATTTTCTTCTAAGTCAGAATTCCATACAGTGACTTCAGTAGGATAATAAATTTTAAATATGTTGTCCATATTATTTTTTACAATATTATAATATCTAATATTAATGTTATTTTTTTTAATATTAAATAAAAATTGATCAAATTCTTGCATATCAATACCTTCAGTCTTATTAGCAAGTAATATAAATTTAGTTTGAGAATAATGTCTATTAAATTCATTTTTCCATGTTTTTAAATCAAATGAATTTAAATATTCAACTTTAATAATAACTTTAAATGGAACATCAAGAAAATAAGTTAATAATGTTTGAATGTATTCTTTATTCAATGACTCTAGATTTATTATTAATTTCTTAAAACATTTCCCAAATTTTGGAGTTTCTGTCATTTTAATTAAAAATTCATTTCCACATTCAAATCGTATTAATGTTTCCATTTTTTCTAACTCTGGAAGAGGTGAATATTCTACTAATCCAATTCCTCTTTTAAATATTAAATAACGAATTCTATTTGAATAATAATGAATAAATGAAATTGCATTAACATCAAATGTATCAAAAACAGAACAATCGAAATCAAGATGTTTTAATCTATCTAAAACATATTCTATTTTTTTACTTTCTTTAATACTTTCATAAACAAATAATCCAGCACTACAATGTAATGTATTCATTTTCTCAAATAATTTCATTAACTTAATCATATCTTTTTTTTGATAATCTATATTAAATGGACTACTATATAAATTTTTACATGACTCTAAACATTTTTTATTTATTAAAATAAATTTAATTAATGTTGTCATTGAGTCAATATATAAAACAACATTCATTAAAAACACTCTTTCTAACTTCATTTGATATTTGAAGTTTATTTTTTTTCCTCTTCTTTTTGAATAAAAACTTTTGTAAAAAAAAAACAATGAAAAGAAACAAAAGTTCTGGTCATGTCATTTCTATTCTTCCACAAACATCACCATCTACTACTCAATTGGAATGACATTCAAAATATATTTGAAGTAATTTATTCTTATTATAATTAAATGAATCATCTTCTTTCTTCTTTTTTTGTTCTACAGAACATAAAACTTGTGTGTTTTTGTTCCATTCAAATCCAAATTCTGTAATTTTCCCATTAAAACTAATTGAAGAAAGGCTTCTACAATTCTTAAAACATTTTTGTGGAATAGATGTAATATTAGATGGAATTGTTATTTGACTAAGTGAACTACATCCACTAAAACATCCTTTTCCAATTGACGTTAACGAATTTGGAAGATAAATATTTGATAATGAATAACAATTTTTAAATGATCTAATTCCAAGATGAATAACACCTTCTGAGAGATGAATTGTATTAATTATTTCTTCATTAAAACAATAATCAGTAATATATTTATATTCTTTAGGTATGACTGATGCATCTTCAAGAAAAGCGATAGAAAACGTATCAAAATATACATTTGGTGTTTCAATTTTCTTTTCTTTAAATAATTCTTGTAGAGAAGTATCTACAAATCCATGAAATTTCTTTCCTGTGGTTAAATGAATTTCTGTGACATCTCCACAATAGTCAAATGCTTTCATTCTAAGAAGAATTCCATCATGAATAGTTATACTTTTTAAAGAACTATTTGAAAAACTAAACTGATCAATAAATGTAAGAGTTGTAGGAATTACAAGTGATGAACATTTATCTATTCCATTAAAACAATTTTCATGTACTTCATGAATTTGAGGGGAAAAATTAAGACTTTCTATATCTAAAAGAGCAAAACATGACTGACCAAGAATTGTTACTTCTGAAGGTACTTCATCCAAATTATAAATATTTAAATCATTTCGTTCTATCTCTGTTAATATGACTCTTTTTCCTTCAACCTTTCTTTGAAACTGTTTTTGATAATTAAGTAATTGAAAATAGGAAATATCAAAATGAATAATAATTTTAAATACCTTTGGAACTTCATGAATTGTAATTGATTTATAAAAATGAAGTGTATGTAAATAAGGGAAATACTTTAATTGATTAATTGAAATATCATATGGGTTATAATGAAATAATTCATTTAAATTAATGAACTTTTTATTGACTAACATTACATGAAAAAGATCATTTATCGTTGGAAAATATTGTGCAATAATCAACATAGAATATCTATCAACTAAACCCATTATATTACTAAATAAGAAGATGAAACAAATTGAGTTTAATTGAATAAAGAAAAAAAAAAGAGAAGGAAAGTTAAATTATTTTCTCATGCAAAATTCTTGATAGTATCTAAAGAAAGATGAATATGTTCAGTTAATGTATTAAATCCATTTCTAATAAGTTTAAGATCATTTGAAATATATTCGCTAAATTAAATCAATTTCATCAATTTTACATTAAGTAACTGTACCTTAGAAATAACAAACATTTTCATTATATTTCCTTCTACAATTAAATTTCTTGTAACTTCATGCTTTTTAAATTCTTTATCTACACTAACAACCCGAAGGACTGTTTTTGCTATTTCTTCCGTTGGAAAAGTAATTTCAGCAGTTCTATGAATAAGTAATAAATGATTATTAAAACCAAATTAAATAAATTAAAAATATTAAAGTAATATTTCTACAACAAACAATATATGACTCATTAATTCTTTTCTTCTTTTCTTTTAAGTTCTTTTTTTTTACTATATTTTAATAATAAAATTTACTAAAAAGAATTATAATTATCCAGACACCCTCAAATACAGTCAAAGTATTGAACTACTATTGGTTCATTAACATAATCATCACCTCCACATGAATCAGGACATGAATATACTACAATAGTACCAAAGTCAATGTTAAGTTCAATATCTAAATTTGTTGCATAAATAAATTGTGGAAGTAATTGCCATTCAAAAACACATTGTTTACCACATCGAGGACAAGAAGGAGGGTGTTGTGGAATGTCATTTGATTTAATCCATAATGGCTTACCATTAAATTGATACCTCAAAACTTGACTTGGGTCTTTAGCAATTTTTGTATTAAATTTAATCCAGACTGGATCACTTTGTTGTAAATCAGATTCTTTAATTCCTAAATCTTCATTGTCTGGGTGCATATTTTCTATTACCTTTTTTAGCTGAACATCTTCTTTTTCTATTAACTCATTCTCTGGTTCAGTGACAATGAGATATTCTGATGCATTTTTTTGAGGTTTTGCTTTATCTCTGCTTCTTCCTAATTTTCTTTGTAATGGTTGTCCACATTTCAATTTATGTTCTTCTCTATCATATAAACAATGTAATGAACAACAGTATGGTGTAGTACAATCAGGGCAATGTGTTGAAGAAGGAAATCCACAAATTATACATTGTTCTTCAGTAACAATGCTCTCACAAAAATCTTCTTTGTCATATAAAGTTCCTTCAGGTAATTGATTTCTTAACACAGTGAATTTTAAGCAAAATGGACAATGAAATAAATAAAATACTCGGTGATAGGATTGTACCATTTCTAATGGTGCGTATAGTTGTAACATAAATAACATAGGTTTCTGACAATATGGACATGAGTTATTAGGTACTTTCTTACCTAACCAACTAGCACATCCACCACTTCTATTCATAATTGGATTTGGCACTTCTTCTTCTTGTAATTCTTCAATAAATCCACAGATTATGCCATCTTCCATTCTTTGTGAATTTCAAATAACTTGTTTCTTGTTCTTTCTTTATTAAACTTGAAAAATGGAAAGTAATAGAATATGTTTTAGGGTTTGTTTCTAGTTGTTTTATAAAACAAATAATTATTAATTCTCTAAAAAAACTTTAATCAAAGAGGAAATATTTGATAATTAAATCATTGATTAAACTATTTTCTTGTCTTCTTTCTGTTATTTCAAAAAACTATTCAAAAAATTAAATTGGCTTGTTAGAAACAGATAATTAACATTTTAAATAATTCATTCTTAAAGAACATATAATTTGTATGTGTTAATAAAACTATTTCTAATAACTATTTGGTTACTTATTGTAATTATCATCAAATAAGAGTAATGTTTTAGTTTATTCAAACTAAGTAAATTTGTTATTGTTATATTGTATTTTATTCTAAAAGAAGTCTCTGAATCAAAAACAATTTGACAAAATAATCAAAACAAAATTTATAAAGAAATAATGAATAGAGAATAATAAAACAAAGAAACAACTGATTTTAATTCCATATAAAAATAAGAAAGTATAATATTCAATAATAAATGTTAAATTGTCATTTTTTATTAAAAAGAAAATAATATATATAATATTTCTATTAAGTTAGTTATGAACAGTCAAAAGAAGAGTAAATGAATTGACAAGAGAGCATGTGATTAGGGGGAATAATATATTGGTTATATAAACCTTTTATAAACCAAAAAAACCTATTAAAAGAATTTGTTTAATTATGAATGTTTTATGTTTAATTTTGTTGATAGTGAAGTTTCAATATAATTGATAGTATTTTTTATCTATCAAAACAATTAGTTTTATAACAACCAATAATGGTATTATAGTTTATTAATATTTCTGTATTTCCTCTTTTATTTAATTCCTCATTATAATTATTAAGAAAAAAAAAGCATTAATTAAACAATGAGTTAAATAATAAAAGTATTAAAAAAACATACAACAACACAGGAAAGTAAAACAAGTAATGACATTGACTTATGTAGTAATGTAAAATCACATAAATAAAGAAGATAAAAAAAAATAAAAAGAAATAACAAAGTACCAAAATTCTAAAAGAAGTATCTACCACTTCTAAATTAAACCAACTATACAACAAAGAAGACTCTCCCATATTCTTTTTATTCTTTTTTAATAAAACAAAAATAAAAAGTGAACAACAAATTCAAATATAATCCCTCTTTGTCTATTTTTGTTTTTTAATTTTATTTTCAGGTCAAAACAAAAAAAAACAATGAAGAAGAGAAACTTAAAAAAGTAAAATTCAGTCATCTGTTACAATGTTGCAATTGAGAGTTTTTGTGATTGAAGCCGAAAATCTCATGCCAGCAGATTTTTTTTCAAAACAAGCAGATCCTTATGTTAAAGTAACTGTAGGAAAAGAAGTTCATCAAACAACTATTCAGAAAAAAACATTAAATCCACATTGGAAAGAAGAACTTCGATTTACAATAGATTCACATAATTTACCAAGCATAAAATTTGAAGTTTATGATTGGGACAGATTTAAAACTGATGACTTTCTTGGAACATGTCAACTTCCTTTAAAAATGCCTATTAATGGAGATGTTTGGTTAAAACTTAGTATTCAAGGAAAAATACATGTTAAATTAGAAACATTTAAAGGCATTCAACAATATTACCCTTCATTTCAAAATGGTCAAAATGGAATTGCACTTAAAGTTATGGATGAGTCTACACCAACACTATACCCAACACAACAATTTAATCCTAATTCATTTGGATTACATATTGATAAAAATGAAGCGTCTAAGTTCAAACCAAAACGATTCATTAATCCACAATCAGACTCATATATTTCTTCAACTGAAAATTTCAATGTAAGTCATCCCTTTGAACAAGATAGTGTTGGGTGCAGTTATTATGCTTTATCATGTGGTAAGTATGTCCAATACTATGGACCTTTACCTTCAGTACCTCCTTAAAGAGCAAGAAACGTTGGATTTTGTTATTGTTTTGTAATATAATGTTATATATACCAATATTTGAACAATGTTTTTGATAACGGTTTTCTATTTTTGAATATTTGAACGGAAGAAATAGTTTTTAAAAAAAGAGCATCGAAAGATTTCTATGAAGCATCCAACTAACCCTGGTAAAAAACAAATTGTATAATATTGTTTTTTCAAACTAGAGTAATACTATCTTTTAGTTATGAAATCTAAAAATAAAACAGTAATTTGCGAATCTACAAGAAACCCTCAAAGTTAAGAATAGGGAGAAACGATGAGCAAAACAAAGGAAGAAAACGGGAAATGAAAATAGTTTTGAATGAACCCTAAAATAAAACTCAAAGAGAAAAGAAAGAAGAAACTAAAAACTGAAAGTAGAGGAAAAGAAAAGAGATTAAATTAATGAAGTGAAAAAAAAAATTAACACCAAGAGATGGAGAAAAGATTTTATGAGAAGGTGACGTGATATGAATAATAAGAAAGAAGGAAAGGAGAGTATAAGTCTATAAAAGAATAAATCAAGAAAGAGGAAAAACTGAAAGAAAAATCAAATCAGAGTTTTCAAATTAGAAAAAGAAATTTAAGGGTTTTTTTTTCGTTTTTGGTAATATTTTTTTTGAAGCAAAAAGAGGAAGAAGAAAAGACGAGGGTTGTGTTAAAGTTTAAAAGAAGTGATTAAAGAGAATTCCCAATAATAAAAAGAATTATAATAACAAAATGTTCAAACCTGTTAGATATACCACTGTCAACAATATCAAAGAAAGTGGAATTTGTGAAATGGCAACAATTAGATATTGTGAGGTTTTAAAAGAAACAAACCCACAACTTATTCTTCCAACAATTAAAAGACCATTAACATTTCCTTCAATTCCAACACATAATAATGGACTTGATAATGAAGGATATGAATATATTGCTTATGCAGATGGATTAATTGGATCAGCATATTCTAGAGAAGGAAATTCATGTGCTTTTAATAAAAACTCAACATATCGGATTATTTCATCATTAGGAAAAGGAACTTTTGGACAAGTACTAAAATGTGAAAATCTTTATAATCATCAAATTGTTGCAATTAAAGTATTAAAAAATAAACCATGTTATTTTCGACAAGGAATGCTTGAAATTGCTATGTTACATGCAGCAAATTTACATAATCAAAATAATGATAAACATATTGTTAGAATATTAGATCATTTTTTATTTAATAGACATATATGTATTGTATTTGAGTTATTAGGAATGAATTTATATGATGTACTAAGAACAAATAAAAATAAGGGAATGGGATTTTCTTTTACTCAGACTATCGGTTATCAAATTCTTCAAGCTCTTTTTACATTGAAAAGAGAATCAGTTATTCATTGTGATTTAAAGCCAGAAAATATATTATTAATTGATAATAGATCAACTATTAAAGTAATAGATTTAGGAAGTGCTTGTTTTGAAGGAAGTACTCTTTATACATATATTCAATCAAGACATTATAGAGCACCAGAAATTATTTTAGGGTTACCTTATTCATGTTCAATTGATATGTGGTCTTTTGGTTGTGTTATTGCAGAATTACTTCTTGGTATTCCAATTTTTCCAGGTGAAAATGAATATAACCAATTAGTTAAAATCATCGAAATGGTTGGAATGCCATCAACACAAATACTTGATAAAGGAAGTAAAACTACAAAATTCTTTAAGAAAATACCTAATAATTTTGGTTCTTGGGAATATGTCTTATTAACACCACAAGAATATTCCCAAGTAAATGGAGTTCCATTCATTGAAAATAAGAGATACCATCGTTATCGTTCATTACAAGAATTTTGTAGTGGAATAACAATGCATAGAAATGGTGAGAAAAAAAGTAATGATGATATTTATCGAGTTCGTTTATGTGACTTTCTTCAAAAAATCTTTGTTATTGACCCAGCACAAAGAATGACTCCAGAACAAGCAGCACAACATCCTCTAATGCTTTCTAAAATGCAACAACGAGGATTTGATTGGACTGGTAATATATGGGGAAGAAAGATTGAAATATCAATGTCTATGGACAATGTCATTGAAACTATATTTAATCGTCCAATGTCTCAACAATATCTTCAATCCCAAAACTTTAATGTTGATCGATATTATCAAACCTTTATTAAAGCATTAAATAATGGAATTGTATTAAATGTCCTTCATATTAATCCATTTCATTTTAAACCATTAAAGTGTGGATTACCAACAAAAAATATAAATAGTAGTGAAGATGAATCAGAAAATGATTTGCCATCTATTGTTAATATGAGAGAAGTACCTCCAAGAAGTAGAAGCAGAAGTATGGGTTGTTTTGAAGTAGAAGAAAATAAAATAACTCCTCAAGAAAATGAAGAACTACCACCAATTGATTGCGCTCCTCAAATTCAATCATCAAGAAAAATGGTAATGACCCCAATCAAAAATATAGCAAATGCACCATTAAGACCTCCAAAATCAAACCCAAGGCATGGATCTTTTTCTATGTCTCCAAAAGGAACTCCAAGACAACCAGCAAATATAACTGTTGTGTTATAGTAAATAAGCTTGTGTTTAATTATTAGTTTGTCTTGTTTATTACATTAAAAACATTCACTCTTGTTTAATTATTAATTCAAAACTTTCATATTCATATTTTGGTTTTCTTTTTTCTTTTGTTCTTTTTAAATTTAGTTTGTGTTTTTTTGTTGATTCGTTTATTTTCTTCCTTTTCCCTAAATAAAATCTTATCATCGAAAAAAAAAATAAATAAATTCTTGTGTAGATTGTTAGTTAGATGAAAAGTTTCTCTCTTCTTTTTAATATTTAAACTAAAACTAAACTCAATGTTATTCAAATGACTATACCACTTAATACTACAAACCTTGAAGAACTTAAAGAAAAAACAGCTACAGGAGTTGCTGTTGTTCAATTCCATGCTACATGGTGTAAAGATTGTATTAATGTTAGACCATTATATAGAAAACTTATTACACAAGCACCAACAACAACTTATCTTGACATTGACATTGATAAAGCTCCAGAATTGAAGAAAATATATAACATAGTTCATGTACCTACATTTATTCTTTATCATAATGGTCAAGAATTGAAACGTATTGTAGAACCTGGATATGATGAACTTGAATCATTTATGGACGAAGCATCAAAACTATAATAATAATTAAAATTAATAGGCAATATAAACTATTTTATTCATCTTTTTTTTTCCTTAATAAGCTAGTTCAAAATAACTGCCAAATACAAAACCAAGTTGTTTTGATGAAAGAAAAATTCATCATTAAAATAGAATAGACTGTCTCATTTCTTTTTCTAAAAGCAAAAATATTTTTGTTATTATATAAGAAATGATATTGTTATTATTTTTTTAATATAGATAAAAAATGTTATTACTCAAGAAAAACAAAATATGAGAGAAAAAGAGTAATGATAAATTAGTAATTAAATTATAATAAAAATAATAAAAATACGATGAACTGTTTTACTTTCAGACAATAATCTCTCTGTAAATGAGTTTGGGAGTATCATCTATTCAATCATCTGACAAAGTTCTTGAACCTAAACTAGCTTCAGAAGAACGAAAGTCATGTCCTTTTCCAGAACATACTAAAATACCACAACGCTCAAAACATTCATTATCACCTACAACAAAAGCATTGAAACCACAACGACCATCAAAGAAAAAAGGAGAACAACGACATTCAGTGTTATTTAAAACACAATTCTGTTTAAATGTAGATGACATTAATAATACTGGTTCTCATCAATCACTTGTTGTTCCATCATCGTATGACTTAAATAGAACATTACATGAAGAAGAAGGGTATTCTGTTTCAGTAAGTAATCCATCTAATTCATCAGATGGAATACTATCGAAAGTTCCTCCAAGTGATGAATTAAAATCTGATTCTATCGAAACAAATGGCATGAAAGAAAGTTGTGAGGTTGTCTCAAAACTAAATGAACAACCTATTGTTGTTAGTACACACCCAGAAACATCCCTTCATTCTAAAAAAGATTCAAAAGAAAAAGTTGGTAAAACTACAAAAGTTAAAGAAGGTCAATTAGACAAAGACAAAATTCTTATTCGTACTTCTGAAGAACTTAATCCAAGACCACTTATGGTTCAACGTAGTGAATTGGATCTTCAAAGACTGAAAGAGGCAAAGCGTGATTTTGCCATAGATATTTTTGAAGACGTGGCACTTGGAAAGGTTACTTTAGCTGACAATGAAACAAAAAGTGCACAACACACTCCAAGAGAAGAGGATGAAGCTAGCAGGAGAAAAACAATGCAACCAAATGGATTGAAAAGGAATTTATTTTTAAGAAGAGAAAATAGTGATAGAGTAAGAAAAAATGAAGATGAAAGTCAGTTTGTTAGAGTTCAAAAAGGAAAAGGTGCAATTCCTGATGATAATGAAGAAACAGAAACATTTAGTGATGATCCAGGAATGGAACAAAATGAAGGATTAACACACACTTATGTTGATAAAGAAGATCTTGATATATTAATTTCTGGAGATGATAGTAAATTAAGAAAATATCTAGAAAGAAATAGAATTACTGTTGGATTTCCTATTAAGGGATATAAAGAAGCATTAGTATTAGATATTAGAAATGGAGATGATAATCCATTTGAACAAATGAAAGAAATTAATGCAATGGTTAATAAAAGAAAAACAGAATTTATTGAACAACATCAAGGAATTATTGTAAAAGAAATAACTATTGAAGAAAAAGATAAAAAGAAACGAGGAAAAGTTAATAAAAAGAATATTCAAGTTGTTACATTTAAAGGAGAAGAAATTGAAGAAAAAGAAATGAAAAATGAAGAAAAAATGAGACATATTCAAATAACTGGATTTAGCAATCAAAAAGAATATTTTAATAAATTAAATGAAAAAGAACAAAGTCAATTTGAAAATTATAAAAATACATTAATGGAATTATGGTTTACAGAAGAAAATCATGTTCAATCATTAGATATTTTATTAAATTGTTATTTAAAACCATTAAATGAAAGTAAATATAATAAATCAGTAAGAAAAATGAATATTCAAATTGAACAACTTCTTAAATTACACACTCTTTTTTATAATAAATTAACAGGCAGAATTGATCAAGCAGGTGATGATATTCCAATTATTTCTGATTTATTAAGATATTTCTTTCATTTTGTAAAATCTACCTGTCCTTATATTGTCGAATATAATTCAAATTTAAGGTTAGTCAATGAGTTAGTTAAACATTCAACTGCAATAAACATTATAGAAGAAAGTAGAAAGAAATATGAAGAAAGTCATCAAGGAATTGTTATTCAAAGAATTCAATCATATTTGATTATGCCAATTCAAAGAATACCTAGATATGTATTATTAATTAAAGATATGTTAAAAAACTCCCCACCATTATCCCCTGATACAGATAAATTAGTTGAATGTTATCAATTGATATTGGATGTTGCTGCATGGATAAATGAAAAAAAATTATATGAAGAAGAAAGAGAAAAGTACAATATAGTTTTAAAAATAATTACTGGGTTATATGATATGAATAAATCTTGTAGAAGATTTATTGTTAGTGGGTATTGTAAATATCTTGATATGGAATCACCAAATGGAGTGAATAGTGCATATTTCTTTTTATTTAATGACGTTCTTATAGAAACTCAAGTTATAAGACATCACAACCATAAGATTAAAAGAAAACAATTATTTAATGTTTATAAGTTAATTAATGACTATGGAACTGTTGAAGATTTTAAAGATGATATGTTCCAAGTTCAATGTGTATTTATGGTTACAGAAGATGCTATTGTTTCTTATGGGACAAATCCTTCATTTGGCCCTTCTATTTCTTTTACTTCTCCTTTGTCTGATATGCAAGTCACACTTGTCTTTGATAATCCTTTAGATGCTAATGCTTGGTTTGTTGCTTTAGCTTATACGATTAAATTATCTCCTCGTTTGAATGAATCAAAGAACATATTTAATATCAGAAATGAATAAGGCATTTCATTATTGTTTCATCCCAACTATTAATTGTATTGTTCTGTTATTTCGTATGATTTTATTGTTTGAATGATTTTTTTTTTGAACGTTCAACTTCTGTTGTTTTTTTTGTAATAACTGTTATGTTAGTGTTATTTACCAATAAAGTTAATACTAAACATTGTTATTGAAAATGAATATATATCTGATTGCATTTTGTAATGTTGACGATTTAATATTTCTGGTGCCATGTATTTTGGTGTTCCTATCCCTTTTGTGAATGTCATATTTGTCATCATCATATTGATGTTTCTTGCACTTCCAAAATCCGTTAATTTACAATTAACTTCAATGTTATCATCAAGTGTTACAATATGGAAATTATCGGGTTTAATATCTCGATGTAATATTCAATTTGAATGAAGATATGATATTCCTTTTGCTCCATCTATCATAAATTTGATTCTTATTTTCTTTGATTTTTCTGTGATGTTTCTTTTATTCATTATATCTTGTATTGATCCGTATTCTGCATATTCGGTTACCATACATATTTTATTAGGAATAAATACTGCTCCATAAAAATGAATAATATATTCATTTCGAAATTTATCTAACATTGCTACTTCTTTCTCAAATTCTTGCTTTTTATCTTCACTTTCTTCAACTTGTTTCATTTTCTTAATTGCTACTTTATTTCCTCTAAATTCTCCAACATAAACAATTCCAAATGTTCCTTCTCCTATTTTCTTTTCTTCTTTTATTTCATCAGGATCAAGTCGTGTTGATATTTCTGTTCCTCCTTCAATAGAAATATTTTTGATTGTTTCTTCTTGTGCTTTATTAAGTGTTTTACTAATTATCATTATTTTATCTTTGATTTTAGTTGTACATTTGATTGTAATGAATACTTCAAATTCACACGCATATCCTCCTTCAATTGTAATGATATTTTGGTTTGTTCTAATTGAATATTTCTCATTTTCTTCTTTACTACTTATTTTTATCTTCATCTTCTCTTTCTTTGAATTTCCAATACAAATTAATTCTCGTATTTCTTCATTCACTTTAATTTCTTCTCCTTCTTGAAGTTCAATTTCTTTCTTATTTGTTAATATTCCATCTCCAAGTGGTATGAATCTGATATTTGATTGTGTTATTTTGAATATGGTTGTTGTTTTCTCTCGTTCTTTCTTTTCTCTTCATTATGTAATTAACCATCATTATTATCATTAGAATTGTTATAATAATGATAATAACTATAATAATGATAAATCAAAAGAATAGAACAGATAGAGATGTATTGGTACATTATAAAACATATCAGAGTTAAATGAGAAAGAGTCACAAAAGAAAAGAATATAGATAAACAAGTGAATTTGAAGAGTATATTACAAGGTTGTGAGTATAAAAACTATGAAAATTTTGGATAAAAACAAGGAAAAAAGAATGAAAAGTCATAAAATGAACATAGAATGACTCAGTAACTATTAAAAATTAAAAAAGAAGATAACAGAGAAAGTAAATTGTTATTACAATTGACTTAGGCACAGGTAATGATTTATAAAGATTTAGGAAAAAAGGTAACACAAAATCTAAAAAATGAACAATGTCTTAATTTTATTGAGGTCATTGGAAGATTTAAACTACCATAATGAATAAACTATTTTAAAAAGAAGAATGAAAATGAAAGAAACAAACAGTCCAAAGACATTTAAGTTGATTTAAGGAGTTATTAATATTAAAAGTAATATACAAATTAGTTGGATTGATAACACTACAAATACAGTCCTGGGTAAAAACACTAATGCATTCAATAGTTTCATTTACAACAACTAATTGAAATGAAAACCCTTTTATTACCGAAAGAAAATAAGATTTGTGTTTTGGCAGCCATTTAAATTCTCCATTATCATTGAAATACATAGTCATTTGAAATTCTGTACAACTAGAATTTCCTTGGTAATGATGAACGAATTGAATAATTATCTCTTTGTTAATTTTGTCTTTGTGTTTAAGAGTATGAACTTCATTAAATACTCTTCTAGTTATTTTTTTCTTTTCTTCTGTTCTATAATCTATTATATTAAATGGTGCAGATAAAGGTGGTTTTTTGTATTTTTTTAGTGTGTTATTCTTTATTTCTTCATACTGATTACGATTACAATTAAATGTACTTATTTTATCTCTATATTCTTCAATGGAAATAACACTTTCATCAAAATCAATATACTTTTTTAACCCTTTCATTGACTTTATTAACCTTCTTTTTTCTATTTGTTTATCTTCTGCCATCAACACAAATATTTAAATTATAAGTTCCTATTCCTTATGTATCAACATTTCATTTTGTAATTCTGAAAAAGAAAAGAAAAGAAAAAACTAAATTAAAAACTATAAAAAATTATTAAAGTATAGTTTTTAATCAAAAAAAAAGAAAAAAACTCAATTAATTTTTATTTAAAGAAATGTCAAGTGAAGCCAAAGAAGAATCTAAAGAAGTAACATTTACATTAGAAGATATGTATAATGATCTTATCAGTGTTTCCAAATGGAGTGATACTGTAAGAAGAGTATCAGACAATTTTAAAGAAAATTATCAAATCATTATTGAATTAACTCTTGGAGTTATTGGGCTTCCTATTGATAAAACAGAAAATATTTTTACAGATGAGTATCTTGAAGAAAAGAGGTTTAAAGATATTGGAGATAGAATTGATAATGATGATTTGGTTACAAATAATTTAAATGTTACACAAATATTAAAAAGGTTATGGAAAGGAGTTTGGAAAGTTGTTTGTGGTATTATTAAAGAAGGGTCAATAGAAGAAAGAAAAGAATATGGAAAAAGTATTAAACTAATACATGAAATACTTGCTGGATTAAGCCCAAATGAGATAAGAAATATACGATATGGAATAATAAGTGTTACACAAGTAATGTATGAAAATTATATTGTTACACAAAAAGAATTAGAAAACCAATTAACAATTATTAAAAAAGGAAGAAAAAAAGATAAAAA